TAACTCGTAATTCAATATTCTTGACATTATTTGGTTTTCCATTCGAACGCCTTATAAGGTTTCATCGTTGGGTTGGCAGAATGATCTTTATATTGATCACCTTTCATGCCTCATACCAATTTCAAACAAGCTACACCGCAACAAATTCTTTCAATGCTACACTTATGGATGACAAAACATATTTATGGGGGTTCCTAGCTTACCTATCACTTTTCATAATAACGATAACTTCTCACTCTGTATTTCGTAGATACTTTTTTGAATTCTTCTATTGGTCACATTTCAATTTTATATTTTTCATAACCTTTGGAATCTTGCATCAAAGTAATGTCCTCACGTTCATCATTGTAGGTATTACTCTTTATGGGGCTGATCGTTTGATAAGGTTCATAATAGGATTTAAAGCAAAGAACATAGTATCAATTGAGGCAATACAATCAGGTGTAACAAAAGTGGTATTCGAATATAATAGTTATTATTCAGCCGGCCAATACATGTTTATCAATATTCCAAATTTAAATCCTCCTTTGTCCTGGTTCACCTGGCATCCTATTTCTTTTTCATCATCAGAAAGTGTTCAAGACGTGGGTGATACCCATAAAGCAAGTTTTCATATGAAGTGTCTAGGTGGATTCACAAAACAACTATATGCTGGAGCACAAGAAGGTAACGAGTACGGTAAAGCAAAATTGAAGTTAAGAGTAGATGGTCCCTATGGAAAAGTGTCGATTGATTTTATACGGTATAGAACCGTCATATTGATTGGTTCTGGAATAGGCGTTACTCCAATGATGAGCATACTAAAAGATTTGGTTGATAGACAAGTTTCGAGTATGCCAATCACAACTCAAGCTATCTATTTCTATTGGATTATACCTGATATAGGTAAATTATCATTACGTTACATTATGTAAAAATTTTAGATTTTTAATAACCAATCCTTTAATAATATTAATTATTATCATTATTTATTTAGATTGTTATTCTTGGTTCGGTAGCGAATTACGAAATTTAATTTCAAGAGCCAAAGCATTGCCCTCAAATAAATATCTTCTTGACCTAAAAATATTTTTAACAAGATCAACTACAACACCTTCCTCGATCTTCTTTCAAGGTAGACCCAACTTTGATGTTATACTCAGCGACGTCAAAACATATCATGGTTCTGGTGATATTGCCGTTGGAGTTTGTGGTCCTGGACCTATGAGAACACAAGTTAGAAATGCTGCCGTTGC